TATTTCACCATACAGAATGTCTGATTTTGAATCCGAAGTTTAATGCATTTTGAAAATAAATATAGGTAAAAGTGGAATGTTTCGAGTTTTCCCAATCGGATATCAAAAAATTATCACGATCCACCCAGTATATATTATTCTGAAATTTGGTACACAAGTCCACCTTCTTCTACCCAAGCGACTGACCTATCAGTCACGAGTAGAATGAAATTCAACATCAGAAAGGTATACCCAGCAACAGTTATCACTTCAAAATTGTCAATTCTAAATATTCCGAAACCGGAACACAGTATCGAGTTTTACCAAGGGTACCTTTTTGAACTCAAATTGAATGATGCTCAAGTTCACATCAAATTTGGATTGTAAAATATAACCTCAAAAAAAGTTATGTTTAAAACTACTCGGTACGAACCGTGTAACTAGCGCCCTCTATGAGAGTCAGATATAAACATGAATTCGTGCGATGTGTCAGCTTCCAAAACACATCCATACAAAATTTCATTACACTGTTGCCAGTATTTTCGACAAAATCGTGAAAAATGTGCGAAAAAAACATTTTTCAACACCTTGTATATTGGAAACGGATGCCGTTGAGAATGTTTTTTAATGAGCAAACTTATATTGCAATGTTCTACCTACCCTAAAAATGGGGTCAGGTTTTTTCGAAAAACCCTCAATAACACGTGTATGTCGATATTCTGTGATTTTTTCATGACCCCATATCTACGACCCTGGAATAGTTGCATGTAGCGCCGATGACAATGGCACCGACAAAAGCAAAGTGAGAATAGAGCAAGTAGGCGTTAAGAGGCCCAAACAGTAGTGGTTTTCTACTCCACCTTTATATGGCAACATCGTCAGACGGTGAGGATTTTATGCTACATTACTCAAACACTTCGAGCCCAATGCGAACGAAATTAGAATTCAGACACAGACGGCCCTATGACCACTGAAACGTGAATTTTACCTTTACAGGGTCATTCATTGAGAATGGGAAATCTCAGAATTACAGATAGAGAACACCAAAATATGAAGATCGGGCCTGATAAGGCCTCATAATAATGTGTTGCTGCATATTATATGGTCGAGGAAAAAGTTTGTTCTGAAATTTCTCAACGTTTGGTTTTCCAGGTTTTCTGAAACGAGAAATATGAAATTGTAACTCATTTTGTAATTGGTCATAGAGGGGGCTAGGGGCACTCTGTTACTGCAGGAAATTACATCATATCTTCTTTGTCCATTTTGACAAAATATGGTTGAAATAATTGAAAAATCTGTAAGCCCATTCATACTTTAACAAAAACAATGTACTCCTAGTTTTTAAATTGTCTAGCTCTAACGGTTTTTACTAACTTATTAATACATTTCAAAGATCATGGAGAAAGCTATCAACATCGAGCTCATGAAATATCTGGAACATTAAGGTATTATCAACGATAGGCAATATGGCTTCCGTCATCAGAGATCAACTGGTGACCTGCTCACTTACGTCTCACATAATATGGCAGCAATCTATTGAAAAATATGATGAAATATGGTGGCACTTGATATGACCAAGGCATTCGATCGAGTCTGGCACCATGCACGGACTCCTCGTCAAGCTTCTATTTTATGGCTTGCCTCCCCAGCTACGTTCTCTGCTATAGCTAGTTTTCTCTCAAACAGGTCTCTCTTATCACAAATGCTGGTGTTCCGCAAGGACCAATTCTAGCACCAACACTATTTCTACTCCATATCAACGACTTGTTGGAAGCAACTTCATGTCCAGTACACAGCTTCTCGGTTGATAGTACCCTCCATACCGCCTTCTCTTGGCTTCAATACCATCAGCCAGGCAAATCAGAAACGAACGAGGATGAAATGTAGACAACATGAATATGAACTTGGCAACAATTCTCGAATGGAGATCCAATAACTTGGTAGATTTCAATGCAAACAAAACACAAACATGCTTTTTCTCTATAGAAGAGCCGATCTCACTGTGCCCAACATATAAGCTTGTCAGGAGTAACTATATACCTTTGAAGACATCCATTTCGATGCTTGATGGTATTACTATCAGCAATAAGAACCTTTCTTGGGAAAATCACGTGAGATCAATCGCTAAAAGTGCATCCCAAAAACTTGGTTTTCTGTTTCGGGCCAGGAGCTATTTCACTTCCTGTCAACTGCTTATGATCTATAAGGCACAGATCTGACCTGTCCTGGAATACTGTTCCCATATTTGGAGTGTCGCACCCAAACATGCCCTGAAAATTGGATTCTGTCCAAGAAAGGGCAATTCGTCTCGTGGGTGATGCCTCGCTCACAAAATCACACACTTCTCTGGAACACCGTAGAAAAGTTGGCGATCTGGCTCTATTTTATAGATATTTTCATGAAAGATCCTCCCTTGCATGGCAGTCCTCGCGATTTTAACCCGTCGAGTTGAGGCTTCGTGTCCCTTTGTGGTCACTTTGGAGACCTGCAAAACATCTATTTCCAAAGACTCGTTCATCCAATGAACAGCGAGGCTTTGAAACACATTACCAATAAGGGAGGTGTTCCCCGAGGCATATAACCTCCAGAAATTCAAGAAGAACACCAATTCCTATACCTATATCTTCATGATCGTTTGAAATAACCCATCAATCAAAAATCAAACCTTGTATATTCTTTAATTCGTTATACTGGGTGAGTCGGGAGGAACGCAACATACTATATTGTATATAGGACATGCGTCAGGATATTTTATATATTTTATGGACAAGGGCAGTGCATGGCTCATATACATAAACATGTTCGCATGTTCACCTTATCTTCATTTACTGATAACGTATCAAAAGAACTGAATAAATACACTAGAAATATTGATAAGTTTGTTGATGCAATCTCTCGCGGTATGACATTGTTTACTTAGGTATAGGTACTTTGATTTCACGATGTGTGCCGACACTGATTTTGAATTCCTAATTTGCGTGAAGAATTTCTGGCATGGTAAAGTTAACAAGTTAGAAAAAAACTGTTTCTTGAACGAATACTTATTTTGATATGTAATGAAACAACAAAAAATAGACTTTCATGCATGGTTTCATGATGAGAAAACTCTATTAAAAATGTTCCTACAAAGCTATACAGTGTTTTAACGTTTGGAAACATTAAAATCAACATTCAGATAAGTATCTATTTATATAAGTATATAAGTAATTCAAAAACAAAAGGCCATCAACCAAAAATGTTCTTCGTCTGAGGATCAAAAAATTGAAATCTTTGTGTGTATATCATTTGATATTGTAAGATGTGAATTGAACAAGTGAATAAATATAGGAAGTTGTATAGGTACCTACTCATGCGGCGTGCATCATTATCGAATCTCATCAAATTGAAATAACGAATTTAATCTCTGGTCGTATACTTATAAACTGATATTCTTTTTCGAGAACAGAAACAGTATTCGTGAACCCTTGGCTGATTGACCATCAGATCAGATGTATGGATATATATAGTATATACTTAGGTAAATGTATATATTTAGTAATTATTATTATTATTACTTATTAGTAAAATAATATTTTCTATTACGTAAAACCCCAAAATTATCTATGTAAGAATAAACCACTTAATTTCCATTGGGACTGCACTGAAAATACGTCAATCAGTCATCATACTGGGCCAATAATGAACAAACAATAAATGGAAGTATATATTATACTGATGCTAGTGATACTTCGCCAATATTGGCGTTAAGTCGGCCAATGGGCAACTTTTGTGATATTGCAAAATGCCAATATTGAGCCAATGATAGATAAAGATAGTTCACTGGGTTGACATGTTGCTCTAAAAGTGATGATGGCCCATGTATTAATGTTTACTGGGTATATACGCTTGAGTCAAAGGTAATATCTCTAAGGCACGATGATTTCAGATCCAAAAGTAATATTTTTTGTGTGCACCACACGGAAAAAAAAGTATCGTTGATTTCAGAATTCACGCTCCGACCCACACTGAAAAAACATGCACTATTTTAGCGGATATATGGTAGAAGAATTTCTGTAGCATAATCGATATGAAAAAAACTACTCGCATGTATTGACCAATAATCTGGCAATACACAAATCAGAAGGTACCTATCTAATTAAGTTATATTATTTATCTATTTATATAAGTAGTATGAATTGGTTGCAGCCGAGTTCGAGCCATCTTATAGTAGCAGTATATACTTAGTTCCCCCATGTAACCATGGCATAATCGGCTCGTACATGATGCATATTCATATTACATATCTTCCTATATACCTATAGGTACAATTTTGATGGAGGTAGGAGGTGTATATATATATAGGCTTAGGTCACAGTTGAAAGATGTAATGAACCATATAAATATTAGGTGAATTGAATGATTTATTGCTGTGACATACTGACATATCTAGTTGGGATGATTATAGGTAGGTATTATTGTATCTGGTGGAAGTTTGTCTGGGCCGGAAAACATAATGTACTTCACGTACTTACTAGGCCATCAGAAAAAGAACAGTGCTACCTACTTTCTCAACGGAAAATCGTCCGGGAAGTGTGGAAACTTCTATCGACTGAACTGTGGTAGGTATAGCATATGACTCCATATATAAGACCTTTCCCAGATTCTTATCCTATAGGTTTTCCTGATGCGCATAAATAACGGCGAATGAACTTGTCTCTAAACTCCTGGAATAGAAGTTAGGGGCCAAGTTACCTTTCGTCTTTACAATCTTGGTTTGGTTTACAATTCGGTAGCAAAACAAGCTCAAATTTACACGACCGACAAAGAGAGAGAACAGGAATCCCGACACCGGTTTGTTAAGAGGGGAGGCTCGGCCCGGAGGCAGTTATTGATTATCCGCCGACCATTTTGTGCAGTGCCATCAACGCCTCAGACCAATCGAGCGTCGAAATACGCAAACGCGATAGGCGTGGCCGGGCTAGAGTGGGGCGACACCTAATCCCCCTTCCGATCTTTCCCGAACACCTCTCCTCAGTCGGTATCGAACCTTGGTCGATGTAGGACGGTAGCGGCGCTCCGTCAATCTCTGGAAACCATTAAAAAGTTAACGGATTTTTCTTTTTTCTTTAAACTGTCGCGATGTTCGGTAAGCAGTAACCTGCGGACGAGCCCTTCTCTGTGAATTTTTCAGTGGACTGTTCAACGAAGTGCGGTTCGTATGGTGATGTCAGAGCAAGGTGGACTGGCAATGCACCAGTTACCAATGCATCACCGGGGGTTGGTCCAGCCTAGTCTGGTAATGAACCCCCATCCCCTGAACGATTCCTGTTCCCTGGACTCGCAAAACAGTAAGTTCCGTTTTATTCAGTGCGTTGTGAAACACAAGGTGAAACAATCAATGTTTCTCAAACTAACTATGGGAAGCTCTAGCCATCAACCATCAAATTCCATTAAGGATTTTCCCCAACCTCAGATAATGATGCTAAATAATAATGATCTACTTCAACCCAAAACTGTATAGATGTATAGATATATATATATATACATATAATCTAACATATATATCTATTTAGATAATCTCCCTAATGTCTAGGGAAGGTATAGATACCAACCAATATAATGTTCAGTTCAATCGTAGGGACTATGACTACCTATATATACCTACCTATACGGAAACACGAGAGCATCAATCAATAATTAGGAAATAGATCAGGCATTGAATACCTACTTGATATACTTCGAGCTATACATACATACTTATATCCGAGTACCTCGCCGAGTACTTATTATACCTTATCTATACTGACGTGCCATGCAATTACCAAGAACCTGATGGAAACAGTGTGACCTGAGTCAACATCAACCACCAGATTTCCCGTAAAATGATTCTCAAGATCTTCCACAGCAGTTGCGCTTTGGTCAACATCACTATTCACTATAGGTTCAACCGAGGCTTCAACCACTAAGTTGGACATAAGCTATATTCTTTTTACAATGTTATGTATTCTCACCATTGATACATGGATGACCATTTGAGTAAAAGAAAAATGTGATATGAAAGTATGAAACTAAGTTGCGTTGATCGCATGACGAACACTTTTTCCGAGACTTTTTCAATCTGAAGGAAGGACCGAAGGACCTATAGTTCCTCGCCTACTACACCTATATATACTATTAGCCTCGCTATTAGCACTTTTCATTATGATCTGTGCAGGAAGTTCGTTTTTGCTGACATGGCGTCGTCTTGCAAGCGAACAGTTTTAAATGTTCTCCCAAAAGATGGCAATTCAAGAGGCTGGAAAGCTTATGGCCGACAACTGGCGAATAACAAATTTGGCGCTCAAGCTAATAGGTATCAGAGATTATAGACTTCCCTCTCTGTAGGTATAGTCCGTCATGCATTAGAATCCAACAGCGACTACCTATATGATGAATCTTTTCCTCGATCACTTCATACAGTAATTCTGTTGATAAACCATATAAAGATACTACTTCATAGATCTAAATGTGTGTATTGAGGTCTATGCTACAATGCATCCAAAATAAACAGATCTAGAAAATTCAACCATCACATTTCACAGGCTATACAGATGCTTACCACCGAGCTTACCACTATTCATTTCATCGTTTAAAAGAACACTTCTCTGCTAGCAGTTTTTTTCGAAGAAAATTTTCTTTGAAGGTGTAAGGTTTATGTAAGCAGGTACCTATCAGATACGTGAAAAAGTATAGCTCGAAATCAGTGCCAATTTCAAATTACTTCGTGAAAAAGTCCACAGTGGCCTATTACTAAAGAAATGGTTGAGCTGACGAATCGACCTTATAGCTGATGTTTCATCCCAGCATTATACCAGCATTATAGCACATAATTGCTATTTAGGTCTATGGTATTGGTATTACCTCCATCATTGGTAAGATAGGTATACGCATACTTATAAATACAGCGTTTGATAGTTTTTGATGGCCGTTTGTAAAATGAAGTTGTAGACCCCTCTACAATAAGAACGTGTTCAAGAACCAATGTTGTATGCTGATGGTTCCCTCGAGTTCCGAGTTTGTATAGTTACCTACAATCCCACAGATCATCAGATGTTTGATATAGGTATACCAATCCAACCAAATTTTAAACATCTAATCGACTCCAACAAAGTGCATACACCCGGCACTTTTCGGTGACCAGAGGTAGGATGATGCATCGTTAAAACAACATCGAATCAGAACCTGTTTGACGCCGCCATCTTAATGCTTCGTCTTCAAATCTAGAATAATAAAAATGTTTCTATTTCCTGCGTGCAAACATTACATTAACTACCTACCACTGACGATGAGATGCAGACTCTGTTTAAGTGAAAAAAATTGTCGTCTTCAATTGTGAAATCACATGTTATTTGTTGAAGAAAATGCACCATTGAGAGCTTTTGCTGCCTATACTATATGCTGCACAGTGCACCCATTCAAAATCTGACACTTCGAAACACCACTGCGTATATAGTATAATATTCCTAACTTCAAACTTCTTCTGATAACTGATCATGATTTTCCACGAGAAGAGACATCAGCTGGTGTGCCAGATAAATAGTATCAAATTCGCCTTTGATTTTTATATCTATAGTCCAGAGGTACTAAACTTGATATCGATATTGGCTCTTATACAACTCATATGCATGCTCTATAATTATATTTCGTATGACCAATACTAAACTTGATGAAATTGCGGGTATACCATCCAGATTCAAAGGTGACGCCTCGGGTGACGCAGAAAAAAGAAGCCCCTAGTGAATGGGAAAAGAAACGAGCAGGGGGCTTCAAAAGGGTCCTGCTTGAAAATATTATTGAAATGCATATATCATGTATAATAATTTGTTTCTACTCACATAACTAAAATGAGATTTAGCGTACGGATATGTACCACGCTAAATGATCGATTAATCACGGATTGGTGATTTCTCTCACGGAACAAATTATAATTATTGTCCCGTATTTCTCATCAACACTGAAGAAACGAAAGAAACATTTGAGTTGTGTAAAAATTAAAGTCCTCAAGTGAAAAACCAAAAAGCAAATTGTCTAGGTGTGTTTATGAAAGATAATTTTGGATCTAAGATGAACCTTCCTAACCCAACACGCATTCATAGGTAAAACGAGCGTATACATACATTTCTGGTAAAACATGAGTTTTCTTGCAAAAATGCCAATCATCACTTGTTATCCTAAATACAATTGATGAGGCACGTTCATATAAGAACACAAGATCTGTATTGAAGGTGTGCCTAGGTAATTTAGCTTTCTGTTGTAACACTCGAGTTGTGTGCAAAAAACATCGGAGTCAGACTTAAGGGTCACTCGACCCTGGAGCAACTCCAGTATCAAGGGAATCCTGGAATTCAAGACAGCTGGACGGAGGCTCCCGGAACAAGGCAGTCCAGACTCCAGAAGATGGAGAGCCTTCTACTCTCATCCTCACTGAATGCCCTGCAGTAGTGGCAGCAAGGAAAATGCATTTTGGGGGCAATATGCTGAACCCAGAGGATGTGCATGGCTGACTTGCGATCCCAGGAATTGTGGGTGCGTAAAGTCCCAGACGCATATTTACACATCCTACCGTACGACGGCACCAGCGTGCGGAAATCTTTGAGCCTGATGTGTAGCCAGTGTGGCCAACGACGCTACAAAAGCTCACTGATTTAGGCACCTACGCGAAAAACGTTCATCATCATAATATTTAAAGTACGCTTGTGGCTTAGAAAATTATGTAATTGAACGCCACGCTGGTAACCCGGGTTCGGTGCCTGCAGCGGTTGGCTTCTTTTAATGTTTTTTTTTATTCGAAAAATATACTTTCCGAAAAATGTACTGTTGAGGCATTCACTGTTGAGGCCGATAGTGATTCGCTATTTATATGATGTTTTTTTTTTCAAGATCGGAACATGTTTGTAGACTTGTGTGCCTAAATCAGTTAACTTTTGTAGCATCACTTTTGGCTGCTACACAGACAGCAAGAGCCCAGACAAATGCTCACAGATTCAGCACGCTGGTGCCGTCGTATGGGAGGCTGTGTAAATATGCGTACCAGATCCCCAGACACATTACATTGCACCATTGCACCCAGTCAACAACTGACACTTCTTCGATCAAATTTGAAAAATCATCACCGTAAAATATCTAATAAACGCTGATCGTACCATATATGCTGTTCAATTCCACCAAGGCTATTCAGGTTATTACGGGAACCCCTCCAATAGACTTGCTGGTGGAGGAGAGGTATCACCTGTATGAAGAGGGAAAATCATGTACTGAGGTAAACAAGAATAGGGCTAGAGAGCAGACCATAGACAGGTGGCAGGTGGCAAGCAAACGAACAAACCGGGCAATGGACCAAAGCATTGATACCCAACGTGCATGGTAGCATCATGGATTAGGTGCGGGCACAGAAGAATGGATTACTTTGCCACACAGGCACTCACAGGCCACGGATCATTTGGAACGTATACATGGAAGATTAAGAAAACGGAGAATCCAGAATGTCGGTACTGGTGGGAGCGAAGACTCACCGAAGCACACCTTGTCTCATTGTCCACGATGGGAACTGGACCGAATACAACAAACGATAGACTTGGGGGAAAAAATAACCGTGGAGAACATGACCAACAAAATGATAGAGACGAAGTCAAACTGGGAGTGCATACAAAGGACTATTAGAAGCATTATGAGCCGAAAAGAAAAGGAGGAGAGAGCAGCACAGACAAACGACGAGGAATAGAGTTCAGGCCACCTAACGCACTCTCGATGAATGTCTAGCCGGTAGGAGTCCGGCACTGACAGCTTGCGATAGAACAAACAAGCAACTGTCGTCCCCTCCAACAAAAAAAAGTCCAAAACTGGCACTGCTTTGATCAAATTCAAAAAACCATAACCGTCAAATATCTACTAAACGCTGATCGTACCATATGCTGTTCATTTCGCACGAAAAGAGACATCGGCTGGTGTGATTATAGTGTCAAATACGCCTCGATATTCATAATAACTTGCGACTCTGTGTGTCAACTTTCAAGGTGCCTGATGTTTCTGTTCTTCCACCGGTGGTCTACGGCCAGTTTAGCACCGGGGTGCTAATAGCACCCCGTCGCGCCGCCTCGCTACCGGTCCTGGCGTTTCACTGTCGGAGACGGTGTCGCCGTCACCATATCTCGTATATTATTACACTGTTGGTACGGTTCATTAGCGGGGCTACTGACTCCCCGAGCCCCATGAAGAAACTACCTGGACCGAGGGATACGTCGGACGTGAACGGAGTCCGCTGTCGTCTTAATTCTCTTCCCTGACGCCCCCTGACGGTGTGTTTTTTGTA